TTTGAGACAGAGTCTCACTCTGTTGCCCTGGCTAGAGTGAGTGCCGTGGTGTCAGCCTAGCTTACAGCAACCTCAAACTCCTGGGCTCAAACAATCCTCCTGCCTAGGCCTCCCAAGTAGCTGGGACTATAGGCATGTGCCACCATGCCTGGCTAATTTTCTCTATATATTTTTAGTTGTCCAGATAATTTCTTTCTATTTTTTTTAGTAGAGACGGGGTCTCGCTCTTGCTCATGCTGGTCTCGAACTCCTGAGCTCAAACAATCTGCCCGCCTCGGCCTGCCAGAGTGCTAGGATTACAGGTGTGAGCCACCATGCCCGGCCATGTTCAACTTCTTTTTAATGCCACTCTAATAAAGGATGTTAGTAGCAGTCCAATAAAATCTTGGTAGAATTTGTCAGAGCCCATTATTTTTCCTCTTTGAAAAATAGCTGCTAAGTATTTTACCACAATATTTGGTGTATTGTCTTAATGGCTTAGTGGAGTATGTTTTATTAAACTCATCATCTGGTCTTTGTTTCTTGTGGGTTTTTGGTTTTTTTTTTTTTTGCACGGGGTGGGTTGTACCAGTAGGGGTTTTTTGGTTTTAGAAACAGGGTCTCATTTTGTTGCCCAGGCTAGAGTGCAGTGATGTGATCATAGCTCACTATAACCTCAAAGTCTTGGGCTCAAGTGATTCTCCTACCTCAGCCTCTGGAGTAACTAGGACTATAAGCATGTGCCGCTATGCCTGTCAAATTTTTCTATTAATACTTTTTGTAGTGATGGGGTCTCACTATGTTGGCCAGGCCAGTCTCGAATCCCCTGGGCTCAAGGGATCCTCCTGCCTTGGCCTCCCAAAGTGCTGAGATTATAGGCATGAGGCACTGCACCAGTTCTTTATATAGTTATTGTATACAGATACAGTGGGCTGAGTGCTGTGAAGATGGGCCCTCCCCTGGGTGGGCCACCCTCCCAACTGCTCTCTCAGGCCCAGAAGGTCCTTGTCCCATATTCCACTCACGACCAACCTGCCCACATGGGCAAGTGTGGGACCTAAGCCAAGGGCCTCTTCCTTAGGTGGAAACTATTTTGAGTCCTGGCTGGGAATAATACTTCCATTTCTTGTCCTCCTCTTTTCTCTCCAGATTTTCTTTTAAAACCTGCTCTACATTTCAAGTTAAACTTTTAGAAACAGACCCACCCAGAACCGTATAAAAGGGACCTCGCATTCCTGGTGGGACTTGGGCACAGGGTGCCTTGGGCCATCAACCCTAGAACCAGGGCCCGGGTCGGGGGTTCACAGGCTCCCGGCTCCACCCCGTTGTCAGCCTCTTGGGCCATCGTCAGTACTTGCGGTTGCAGCTCTTCCCAGATTCTGGTGACCCTCCGCCTCGCCTCCCTGTAATCCACGGGCAGCTGAAGAGTCCGAAGCTCCAGCTCCACGTCGCTCCCCAGGCCCAGCTGGGACAGCTCCTGCGGAGAGAAGCAGGAGCTTGCCTCAGTGGATGGGGGCTTGGAGAAGTCCCTGAAGACTCAACCCTTGGGGTCCACTCCCAGGGGTCTTTGGTGGGCCTGGACCCTGCCCTCCAGGAGCTCGCACAGTGGCAAGAGGCCAAGAGAGGTCGGTTCCTGCCCTGCGAGGCAAATGCTGCCCGTGGCTGCCCCGTAAAGGAGGGGAACCCTAAAGAGCACGCCTGACCAGCCGTGTGTGCAGAGGGGGTGCAGGTGAGTCCTGTGCACGGATGGGGGTGAGTCGCTGGGGAGGGCACGCCAGGCAGAGGAAGCTACAAAGCAGAGGGGAGGACAGGAGCCTGAGGCCTTTGAGAACTTGGCTGTGACACGGTGCTCTTGGCAGGGCTGAAGGCTTCTTCCGTGTGTCCTGCAGGCCTCAGGACAGGACGTGGAGCACCCTGGGCTCTCATCTGGCACAAACCGCCTATGGCATCCCCAGCGTCCCCAGGTATTGTGACAAATAACCCACCGCCACCATCAGTGCTACGCCAGGGAGCACCGCACATGGGGAGGAGGAGGGAGAGAGAGCCTTTGGACGTGGTGAAGAAGATCTTCCGGCCGCTGCGCGGGCTTGGGGAGCCCCTCTGTGTGGGTTTCCTAGGGCTGCCATGACAACGCGCCACAAGCTGGGTGGCTTAGGACGACAGAAATGTGCTGTCTCACAGCTCTGGACGCCAGGAGTCTGAATTCAAGGTGTCAGCAGGGCCACGCTGCTTCCGAAACGTGTGAAGGACCCTTCCTGGCCTCTTCCGGCTTCCAGTAGCGCCCGATGTGCCTTGGCTGGTCGCAGCATCACTCCAGTCTTCAGTCGTCTGCCCTCTGTGTCCAAATGTCCCTTTTACAAAGACACAGTCATATTGGATGACGTCCACCCCATGACCTCATTTTAACTTGATTACCTCTGTAAAGACCCTGTGTCCAGTGAAGGCCACAAACACTGGGATTTCCACGTCTTTTGAGGGGGACAAAATTCAACCCGTCACCCTCTCTTAGGCTGTGCCTTCCAAAAGACTAATGGCATCGCTCTTGCCAAAGTAGAAAGTGCCGGGAAGCCGTACCCTAGATCTCCTTGGCATTTATAGAGCCGGGGTGGGGTGGAGGGCATTTGGCATTAGAGGTGACACCCGTATCTTTTACTTATCTGAGAGACAAGGCCCAAGAGACTCAAGGTCCTGCTTCTGCCCATGCTGGGATTCCTCAGGCACAGCGACTGCCCGCTGACCTCGAAATCCCCTGCTGGATGCCAGGGGAGCTTCTGGGCTGGGGCTGCCCTCCACACACAGCCACACTCATGTTTCAGCCCAGAAAATGGAAAGATGTACTCTCTGGAATAGACACAGACGTCACACAGAGCTGCCCGTCTGCTCAGGTCACTTTTTGCCACCCAATGAGTGGAGAAACTCCAGTATTTTCCTAGTGTGTTTTCTCTTCCTAACTAGAATGTCACCCTCTTCTTCCTCCTCTCCACAGTTGTGCTGATGAAGGGAGAGGCTGGCTGCACCTAGGTGGATCCACCCTGTCCCCAGAGATGGGGACTCACTGTCATCATGGACTCTGCTAAGGTATCGCCAGCCTCCCGGGGAGGAGATCATCACTGCTGCCCCTACTACGTGGGGCAGGGGGTGTCCTGATCCCTGCTGGGTTCCCTGGAACCCTTCAAGCACAGAGAGGGAAACTGTAGCCAACAGACATCAGCCATGGAGGACAGAGGGTACCATCTCCACAGCCATCAATTTGGAGGCAGGAGAACAGCTGTACCTCCACTATACCTAGCTCAGGCTCTGGCCAAACTGCTTGTATGGTCCTGGGAAGTCTGCTGCCACCCTGAAGTCACCAGAATGAGTGATTGGCTCTGTTGGTTTTGGGGGGTACTATGGACTGAATTATGTCCCTCCAAAATGCATATATTTAAGCCTTAACCCCCAATGGGATGATATCAGGAGATGGGTCCTTTGGGAGGTCCTTTGGTTAGGTGAGATCATGAGGGTGGGGACCGCATGATGGAATTAGTGCCCTTATAAGAAGAAGAGACGCCAGAGCCTTTCTGTCCCTACCATGTGAGGTAAGCAAGAAGGCAGCCGTTTGCAAAGCAGGCAGAGCCCTCACCGGGAACTGAATCAGCCAGAACCTTGACCTCAGGCTTCCAGCATCCAGAACTGTGAGGAATAAAGGTCTGTGTGGAAGCCACTCAGTCTATGACATTGTGTTACAGCAGCCCAAGCTGACTAAGATGAGACTTCCAGTGGGTAGGGAGATGAGTCCTGGAGGGCTGCATGGAGGAGGGAGCTTCATCCAGCCAGAGCATCGTTCAGCTTGAGAGGGCCACAGCCAGAATCCGATTTCAGGTGTTGAGGAACTTTTCCCAACTTGAAATGGTGGAGGCAGTCTCCAGACACTGCCTCAGGTGGAAACTCCTGCTCTTGCGATGCCTGTCTGTCTGTCTGTCTCTCACACACCCACACACTTACCTGGGGTCCGAGGCTGCGTGCACCGTGTCCACGGCAGACAAAGGCATTTTACAAAAAATAAGCCAGAGCTGGTGGTCATCACCAGGCTAAGCCTGTATGGGGGCGGGAGTGCAGGCCAGAGGGGCACACGCAGAGCCAGACCCCAGCTACGGTACCGAGGGAAAGGCATGGGCTTTGGGTCAGAAAGACCTAGCTCTGTCTCCTCTCACTGAGCAAGCTGGGCATGTTATTTAACTTTGGTGTACCTCAATCTTCTGATCCATGAAATGGGGATAATTAAAAACCAGGGGGTTTTTATGAAGATTAGCTGAGACGGTTCACTCAGCACAGTGCCTGGCACACAGTCGGGGCTTTATAGGAGGGACAGGTGTTGATAAGGAGCCCATATTAACTTGAGACAGTCATGCAAGAAGGATTTGCTGAAAATGACATTTATTAGAATACGATGAGCCTGGGGCCCGTCTGAGGAGCGAGAACGTTCCGCACAAGCAGACTGCAGGCCACTGGCTGTCACCGCCATTTCTGCCGAGAAAGGCTGGTTGTTTTAGCAGAGGGAGGGCTGGTTCTGTGCAGACCTGGAGAGAGGCAGGGGTTTGTGTTTTGTGAACTGCACACTTTCTCAGCTACAATTGCACAGTTTTTTTGTGCTAAAGGGGGAGGAACAAAGACTGGCATAACCACCCTCCCCAAAATCAAATCCGGCGAACTGCTTTAGCCAGAGGAATGGCCGGGCTCACCAAGGCGCTGAGCGTCTTGTGCCAGGTCCATACCCCCTCAAAAAAACCTGGACCTCACCAGTGGCAAAGTCCTTCTGCCTCTTTCTCTTTCCCACTTCTTCTGGCCTCCACGTTGTCCGAAATCTGGTTGCCAGGAACACGTGGCAGTTTAACAAACAGAACCAAAGGAAGGAAAATGACGCCAGTGGCTCTCTGAATTTTTTCAGATTCACCAAGCCTGCGGCACCAGTTGGTGCTGAAAAACAGTTGCTGTTTTTCCGAGATCTGATTCTTCCCTTATCAAACATGAGTTCGGGGCTAGCACCAGGATGCATGAACGTCTTCCTTTATTTAGTCATTCCAGAAAATTCCCTGAGAGCTTGAAATCTGGCATGTGCTCAGGGCTTGATGCGTCCTGGAGGGTCGTGTTCTTGGAGGAGATACACGGACTAGAAGCAGAAGAGATGGGCTGCAGAACAGAGGTGGAACCCGCAACCCGATTCTCCCCTTCCCTGCTGGCGGAGTTGGGCAAATGATTGAAATCTGCCGAGCCTCGGTTTCCCTGTCCATGAAACACAGTAATAACAGGACCTCCCGCAGAGGGCTGATGTGAAGGATAGACAAGATCCTGCACGGGGAGGGCTGCAGGGAGGAGGGGGGTCTTTGACCAGAGCTTGGAAGATTACCGGGTATTTGCCCGGGGAAAGAACTTTTCCACAGAGTAGGAACAGTGAGGCTTGGAGCTGTGTGCCAAGACCTCCCTTCCTTCCTTCTTTCTCATCTTTTCATTCTTCCCTCCCCTTTCTTTCCTCCCCCCTCCCATTTTCCCTCCCTTCTTTCTTTTGCTCATTTTCCCGTCAGTCATGGGATGTGCCATGAGACCCCTCCTGCGTGTAGTCTCTGCACTGGGCTCTGGCAGAGGGTTTGGGGTGCATGTTGGAGTGGGGTGACGAGAGAGAGAGAGAGAGAGAGAGAACATGCTCCTCTTGACCTGCTGGGTTGGAAGGGACCATCAGGTGTCACTGAGACCTAGGCCTGGGCCCTGACACCATCCAGGCTGGAGGCCCACCGTGAAGACAGAAGCTAAAGCCAGAGCCGGGTCACGGCAGGCGGAGGAAGGAGAGCGAAAGAGGCGAGAGGAGGCCTGGCAGCAGGAGGAGGGAAATAAGTACAGGAGCCATCGGAGGAGTATAACGCAGCCATTACAAACAATTTTATGAGGAATTTATTGACACGGGAAAACCCCTGAGAAAGAATAAGTTTAAGAAGTCAGATCTCAGACCGTTTCCTGCAGCTGTTGATGGAAATGGAGACATACCGGAATGGCCCTCCCTTGCAGAAGGAAGCAGGGCTCATTCTTATTTCTGTTCTCTCTGTAAGGTTTGGAAAATGGACACGCACGTGCTACGTCTCTAGTTCCACGAGGGTTTACAATAGCCCAGTACTCATACCAGCTGCCCTGAAGGCCCCTGCTGCGTAAGCCACGGTGCCCAGCACCTCGCTGCAGCCTCCTGCTGGATATGATGGTGTCCCCATTCCACAGATGAGGAGGCTGAGGTGCATTTAAAAGAAGAGAGGCGTCCCAGAAAGTATCCACAAAGGAGATGCTACCACCACGGTGGATGTCAACCATTTAGGGCTGATCACAGCCCTCACAAGTGGTTTGGGAAACCTTGGCATGCTGGTTAAAGGTCACTGTCTTTGGCAGTGACCAGTGACTTGGCAACGCCAAGTCCCATTCTGCGTACGTGATGCTGGTCCCAGCCCACTCCCAATATCCCTTAAGGCATTCCTCCAAACTGGTGGGCCAGTCTTGCCTGAAAAACCCAGGAATGAAAGACAGCGGCACCATAATTCCCAGTGGTTTATCTGGAGTGGTTGTCTCCAAATATTTTTGATGACGTGCCCCTATGAATATCAAACGTTAGCGTGCACGTGTATGTGCACACACACCTTAGCTGACAGCCTGATGCCTCAAGGCACAGTGCACACTTCAGGTGGGCTTCATTGCTAATAAGTGGATGGAAATCTATATTTTAAATGGTTTTCTTAATTCCTTCCTTTTTTTGAGGGGGCAATGTCTTGTCATTGTGGCTGATGAAGAGCATCTACGAGGAACAGGAGGAGAGTTACTCGGCTGTTTGCTCACGATTTGCTCAGCTCTGCATTATTCATCTTATCTTCTATCTGTGAGTTTTTTCAGATCATTTTTGTGAGGATTCCTTGATCATAATTTGAAAATCAATTTAATTAAAAGTGGATACTATCATGCTGAAACCCATTAACTGGGCTGAAAAGCTTTGTAATAAATTAGAAGTGAATCAAAGAGGGAGGGCCTCTCAGTGATCCCAACATCCCTCCCCCAAGGGTGAAACTCTCCCTCTTCCCTCGGGAAGCCATGCCTGTCCAGGGACCTAAGGACACACGAAGGAAGACGCAGTGACAATGTCAGAACAGCTGTGATATATTGATCAAGGTTAATTTCTTTCTTATTTTTATAGACTAAAGCCATAGAAATGTACACCCATTGGGATGGCCACTATCAAAAACCAGAAGATAGCAAGTGTTGGTGAGGAGGATGTGGAGAAACCGGAACCTTTGTACACTGTTGGTAGAAATGTAAAATGGTGCAGCCACTATAGAAAATGGTGTGGTGGTTCCTTAAAAAATTAGCTATAGTATTATCATATGATTTAGCAATACCACATCTGGGTATATACCCAAAAGAATGGAGAGTTAGATTTCAAAGAGATATCTGCACACCTATGCTGATGGAAGCATTATTCACAATAGACAACAGATCGAAGCAACCCAAGTGTCTATCAACAGATAAGCTGATAAAGAAAATGTGGTAAATAAGGCTGGGCATGGTGGCTCACACCTGTAACCCTAGCATGTTGGGAGGCCAAGGTAGGAGGATCACTTGAGGCTAGGAGTTGAGGTTGCAGTGAGCTGTGATGGCACCACTGCACTCTAGCCTGGGAAACAAAATAATACCAAAAAAGAAAAAGAAAGAAAGGAAGACAGAAGAAAAGAGAGAGAAGAAAAGAAAGGAAGGAAGGGAGGGAGGGAGGAAGGAAAGGAGGGAAAGAGAAAAAAAGAAAGAGAAGAAAGAAAGAAAGAAAGAAAGAAAGAAAGAAAGAAGAAAGAAAGAAGAAAGAAAGAAAGAAAGAAAAAGAAAGAAAGAAAAATGACATTGCGCTAATGATAGTATTGGTATATAAAAGAAAAAAAAGAAATTGTGGTACATACATGCAACAGAACATTATTCAACTTTAAAAAAGAAGAAAATCCTGTGACATGCTAAAACATGGATGAACGTTGAGGACATCATGCTAAATGAAATAAGCCAGTCACAGAAA